TAGTTTTGGAGCACACTATATTACTTCATTTACGATACCTTCTTAACAAAATCGATTTTCACCATGCGATAAAGCTCCAAATCGATCATGCTTCTACTAGTTGGCTCTTTAATAAGCAAGCTTTCAATTGACGTAAATACTTCTTTTGGCAAATGAATACGCGATAAACGACAGCGCGTTGAAATCTTCCGTTTTTGACGTCTTGCAAGTCAAACGCTGTTAATTTATACACCGTCGAAGTAAACAATTTAATCAAGTATTCTAAGTATTTTACCTTTTGAGAAAAAACATATTCTTGAATGGGGACTTTTCGCTTTGCTAAGTTTAAAAGTGGTCCAGAAATCCCAGTATATTTGTAAAAAAATCATCAAACATCCAGTATTTGGAGACATTGTTGACGGTTGCATGATAACTTCAGATCATTATTCAACGTGATCTACGACCCGGCCGTTTGACTTTAGCGCTAATTACATATACAAATCGATGAGCTATTTAAGGATTATATTTGCTACTAAATTCCCCAAAAGAATTGGAACTACAACTGCTGTTTTCAGAGGTTTTGATCCATTTTGTCCATATTAATGTACCATTTTATTTATCGACTGATGTTTACAAATACGTATTAAAGTTAATTATTAAGCAGCTGTTAGCGTGCGTGTAATGTGAAATGAACGTTTATAATGTTTATCCATATAAGGAGTTTTTATTTTTAGTTTACCAGCCCTTATATTTGAATAGTCGTTTTCTTTCAAGTTGTTTTCTTTTTTATACTCTGCAAAGTTGATTCCGAAATGTTAAGGTATTCGAAAAAACTATCGAACTTTTCCATGATATTTACAGAGAAACGTCACAGCTGTAAACCCCCCTCCCCCACCCCCAAAACGAACATATGACGTTTCTTGTGGAAAAATCGATATGTGAGGCTTCCCTAAAACTGCAAGGTTTACACTATTGAATTAAAATCCCACAGACCACAACGATTATACGTATTGATTGTTTCTTGACGATAGTAGACGCGTACGTGCATGTTGCGGAAGAGGTTATTTCGCTGGCCTCAGAGTGACAAAAGGTACTCTGGTTCTAGAGGTTTAAAATAATAAACCTCTGTTTGAAAGCGGCAATTAATTCATCGAGCCGCGCCAATCAGCTTGAATTAGGGTAGATAGTTATGATAAGACAAGGGCGGCGCCAGGGCCGCGCATGCAGGGAGGCGGCAAAGGGAGCAATTTTCTCCGCGACCCCAGCTCAAGGAAGACAGGCAAATACAAATTTGCAAGGCGATAAAAAGTTTGTCGACGGAGGGGGGTAATTGTGGTTCACCGGGGCCCCAAGGGTATAATTGGCCCTGGGGCCCCATATTTCACTGAGCTGGTTTGGGCTGCGCCAGTATTTCTCCGACGGGGGGAGTCATCAGTGCTCTCTTTTGATCTTTGTCAATTGGCATTAAAACCGCAAGAACTACCGACAAGTGACCAGGGCCGGATTAACGTCGCGCGAGGCCCGTGGCAAATTTTAGCGCGAGGCCCCCAAACCTCCCCCTTTCTTCTTTTTATGAAAACCATTGAATTAAAAGACACACAAAATTGTTAAATAATTTTTTTCAATATTTCAATTTATTTGCATCAATTATAAACGAGATAATGGCCTGCCTGGCGCAGTTGGTGGGTATAAGGATCATAATATAACAGCTCAACGCAACTAGAGATTATATGAACACGAGTATTGCATATTTTTCCGGGGCCGTGCTAGGGCGAACTGCCAAGCCTAGGGGCCCTAAATGCGCGAGGTCCCTAAATTCTCGAGGCACCTAAAATGGGTGTATCCCAATAGAAAATGGCCGTGTTCTCGTAAAAATTGGCGTAGCACAGTAAAGCGCGAGGCGCACGGCATTTGCCGTATTTGGCACGTGGTTAATCCGGCGTTAAACGAGCAACAAGCTTTCATTTTCTTTAAACGCGACGTATGGGGAGACAATAATAATTTGTGATGTCGCACTGGGCCAAAGTACTCAATGTTTTATTTTTGGGTACTAGTACTTGTGAAATATAATAAGATCGATAGACATTAGTGTATCAAAATAAAGTAATTTTACTGATTATTTTAACTGTGCATCGAAGTAAACACGCATTATTCTAAACTACAGTATTTGCTACATGCCTATAATTTGAGTTTGAGGTGGTAGAATATATAATAAAATAACAAATCCTTGTATGGATAAATGTTCATTTCACACGCACGCTATTAACAGCTGCTTAATAATTAACTTGGGCTATGTATTCGTAAACATTTATACTCGATAGTCGATATGTAAATACTAAATGGTACATTATATGGATCAATGCAAACTGGAACAAAACAACAATTGTCAATTGAAGTTCTAATTTTGGGAAATTTAGTAACAAATATAAAATCACTAAACAGCTCATCGATTTGTATAGATCGGATATTAAAAGTAGACAATATTGAACAATGATCTGAAGTTGTCATACAACTGACAACAATATTATATTTCAAAATACCTGTATATGATGATATTTTACAAATCTATCGGGATTTTTGGACCAATTTTAAACTAAGCAAGGTAAAAAGCCTCCATTCAAGAATATATCTTCTATAAGGTAAAATACTTAAAATACTTGATTAAATTGTTTACTTCGACGGTATGTAAATTAACAGCGTTTGACTTGCAAGACGTCAAAAACGGACGATTTCAACGCGCTGTCGTTTATCGCGTATTCATTTGCCAAAAGAAGTATTTACGTCAATTGAAAGCTTGCTTATTAAAGAGCCAACTAGCAGAAGCATGATCGATTTGGAGCTTTATCGCATGGTGAAAATCGATTTTGTTAAGAGGGTATCGTAAATGAAGTAAGATAGTGTGCTCCAAAACTACGATTATTTCTATTCCTAAAAGTAACTCAGATTTCCTGTAAGTCATGTACACAGGTCCTTTCAATAACCGAAAACAAGATTTTTAGGGTTTTAGATCGATTAGAAACGGTTGTCGTCGTGAAATTTATCTGTAAAATCAGCGCATATTTTCCCAGAAAAATGGCGATTTAGGGTGGTCGTGTTAAAACGGCATTTTCTCAAAGTTAAAAAAGCATTTGACCTAAAAAAATATATGGTGCATTTTCCGATATAATAAGGTATATCTGGGCAAAATTTGAGCAAAATCGATTTTTCAGTCGTGGCCGCGAAATGTCTCATATGTTCGATTTTTACTGACATTCACTCTTAAACTATAAAGACGATGGCAACTTTTACAAAGTGCATGGTTAGTTACTTTGAGGACAGAATGCTGCGGATTCAGAGAGATACGACTACCTGAAAAATACAAGCACAACGTCGACGTTGGTCACTTAGAAATTAGTCACTAATTTCTCGACGAAGGGTTTTCACTAGATCGAATTGTCGCTAATTTCCCAACGAAAAGACTTCGCTCGAAACGGCGAAGTTCTGCTTGTATATGTTTTAGGTATAGTTGTATACCCCTACCTACACTGGCAAAACCCGTTCGAGATTAGTCACTTTCAATTCCTTAATCACGATATTTATTATACTGTATAGCTATGCAGTCCATCCGCAAAATGTAACATTTTTATCGTTCCTGAGCGGTCAGAAACCAACAGTGAGGACCGATAAGATAAACCGCTCGCAATGGAAAACTTAAACTTGGTTCAAGTCCGTCTCAGGAGAAAAGTAGAGAGAGACGGACTTGGGACATTTTCAGCATTTCGAATGTTACTTGCAAAAATTGGCGCGAAAATTTGTTGTTGTTCTCAACTCGCAAGCCACGCCTCCGTAGGAAAATCGGACGGTAAAATTTGGCGCGCTTGCAGGGTATCCAAGTCCGTCTCTATATACTTTTCTCTCATATTTTTGCGCCTTTTTTGACCGCTCGCGTGCATCGCTATTTCAACCCCTTGAGAGACGGACTTAAATCAAGTCTGTGGAAAACTTAAATAGCTCATTTCGCAGTAAAAAACTATATTAAATGACCGTGATAAGTTCTTTTATAAAAAATAACATACTATTTTACTCTCTTTATCTACTGCGCTATTTTCAAAATTTACGATAGAAAATCATTTGGTTATTGACTTTATTGACTTTATTAAAAACGGTACTATTTCACCAGATTAATTATTTACAAAAATATTAATTAGAAATATAGAAGAAGGAAAAAAGAAAAGGTGATCACCTTTATCACCCATTACTGATATATCAATGGTTTTAAAATTAATTCAATGGCTGGAAATAAATTTCCAGTAATAGTATATTCGCTTCATTTTGGTTGTAAAGCTATAGAAATACTTTTCGATGATTTCTTTGCAGTGGAAAGGTTATTCCAAGCCATTGTCAGTAAATGTTTAAATATTTTGATGATGAAGAAGTTGAATTGTACAAATTTCAATCCATTAAAATGTTGATACATTTTTGTCAATAATTTTTCTTTGAAACAAAACGTTTTCGTTAAAGGAAAAGTTATGTGGAGTATAACATACATATATGTACTTCTAGGGAGTTCGCCTGGGCTTGACGCACCGAGAGAGGCTGGAAGTTTCCCGAACTGAACGAGCGAAGCGAGATTTCTTTTTTCTTTGGTTTTCTTCAGCAGGTTAGTTACAAAAAAGTTCTTTAAAGTTTTCTATCTAGGTTTATCGGCTTAAATTTGGCTTCTATTGTGATTGATGCGGACGGCACCGTAAGCGGTGAGCATGCAGCTTATTTATCGCTGAAGATTTCGGCGAAAGGAAGGTTTTTTTCAAAAAACATACTCATGCACCTGCTCGGAAAAAAAGGAGAGCCGCTTTTAACACAGGTATTGGATCATTATATGGGTGCAATTTCAACAATTAAGTTAAAACTTTGATTACGCAGCAAAATTCTCGTGAAGTATTCGCAGTCAAGCTGAACTGACTAGAATTGATTTAAATCAAAAGTAAAATGAAAAAGACACGTATTGGTCTAGGCAATTAAAAAACTAAAATATACCTTACCCAAATCTTTGGACTAAGTAATGGAAAATCTTCTCAATGTCTGTGTCATTAATGTCTCCAAATTCATTACATGGTGGAAAGATTATGAGCGGAGAGCCCGTTTTGTCCAAGCCACCTGGAAGAGAAATTAAAAATTTAATAATTAATAAACTGATCTATATATTTATAATGCATGGGCAATGTAGTTTGGCATAACTAAATATTCAATAGATGGCCATGACTATCTATTAAATATACCCACTCCAACAAACGTCCATAAATCCAATTATTTATTTCAAAATAACACCAGAAGTAATTTATTGATCGGACTCGGCCTGTTTCATAAACCATATTGACACAAAATGCCACTCAAATACAAAATTGCTTATAAATTTCGATTTTTTTTCAGTAGTAGCCCCGTGCAGGGCCGTCTAATAGCCATGTTTAATGAGTGGAGTCAGTGTGAGTATCGCATTTTCTGACAAAAGGCCTGGGTTTGGTACATGGGGTCACTCCAAGTTAACCACTTAATTAGACTTCGTTTTTGGGCATATCCTTACATTGACAAGAATCTTGTTGGACGACACTTTAATTTAATAAGAATAACATAAATTCTTGTGCTTTAATTATTATATAATATCAATATCTTATTTACATTACAAGGTACTGTAAGAAAGTTGGGTTGTTATCCTTACTTGCAGCTGAGAGCTAAGCTGAATTGCGAAGGACACAGTTCAACGTGATCGAGTGGAAGGCTTTCTAGGGGCGCCTCTGGTTGCCACCTTATGACGACTCATGTCTGATCAGGGAGCACAGCTAAGATGGAAGAGTTAGTTTAGTAGGGCTAATCCCAGCTTAGGGGCTATTCCCAACCACCCTGTCAACATTCCCTGTGGGAGGAAACCGGAGTATCAAGAGAAAACCCACGTCTTTCGGCAGAGCGTTGACTGACTCTTTTCACATGGATATCATCAGGGACGCCGGAACGATGTGAAGGCAAGGGGGGGGGCAGATTTTCGTGAAAGGGTACTTTTGACTGATTGACATATACTAAGGGATGTTTGCAAAACATCGGGAGTTGAACTTCCCCTAATCCGTTTTCCATTTATTGGATCATAGGGGTGCGAGGGGGTTCTCCGCCAGGCGATTGTGCTATCTTGAAGCTCGATGACTGCATTTCTTGTGTTTTCTGAAGCAAATTCGTAAAATAATTGCACTAACATTTCCGACAATTCGCTATTTCGCCAAGGCAATCCTTTAAATTGAAACCAGGGCCGTAGCAACCGGGGGGGCTGGGGGGCTGCAGCCCCCCCCCCAATAATTTGCTAATAATCATTCTTTTTTCAAAATCATTGCATGCAAACTTTATCATTTAATCTGTGACAAACTGCAAAGAATGAAGATATTACTCATACTCCAGATCGTTCCTCGCGTAGAAATTTTAGCTGAATTTCTGTCGCGCATTTTCAAGAAAATCCCACAAAATCTGCACATTTTTGATGAACTAATGATTTATTTTGTCTTTTGCGTGTTGGGTCTTGCGAAAGAAAACTCTGAAAATGCCATTTAAGACCATCTAGAGACTCCAGATTTTCGAAATTTTCTCAAATGTTCTGCCTTCATTTCCGCGCAACTGCCATTTACGACGAAAATTTCCGCCGCGCATTTATAATACTACAGTCTGGCCCATACTTTCCTGTAAATTTCGACATACTAAAACGCTGTTTTCTGACTATCAGAATTCTGTTAAATCTTCCCCCCAAAGTCCAGGAAATGGCATTTTAGAGACTCTAAATTTAAAAATTTCCTCGGGCCTTCGGCCCTCGCTTTCAGCCCCCCCAATCGAAAAGAGCTTCCTACGGCCCTGTGAAAGGGCACCTTTGCCCCCCTTTCCCCTCCTGGTAAAGGGCAACGGGAGCGGCTGTCCCTCCTGCGTCCCCCCCCCCAGTTCCGGCGTCCCTGGATATCATAACGTCCACAACGGGAATCGAACCCAAGATATCAGAGGTGAAAAGCGCGTGCTGTATATTTTGAGAACTATCTCTTCGTAATTGCATCACGACGGTCCTCGGAAAACTAAATATACAGGTAACAAACCATACAAATGACTATATATAACTCCTAGGTTGAATAAGAAATTTAAATTCAAATATCTCGAATATCGAGTCAAAATATTCTTGGGCGTTAAACATTTGCATATCATACCTGAAACGTACACTGACTTGGTCTGTAACAACTGAGCAACATCGATTGTCTTTAGTTTTGGAAAACCAACATCACCTAGTCAAGCAAAATATTTAGCTTATTCATATACTATTACTAATGTACGTACTATTACTAAGCCTTTTCGTTTGAAAACCAGCACTTTTGTACGCGTTTTCACCGATTGTCCACATATTATATATGGATAACGAATACCCTCATCCATGCATGAAAACGTTGCTTTTCCAAGACGTCTTTAAAAGTGGAGACTTTTAAAAACGGACGCGTTTTGGATCAGTGTGGATAGGCGAGAGACGCTGATGAGCGCCATAACTCAGGCAAACGTGAATGTTTGTTCTGATTTGAACTGAATTGATTAATCTGCAAGCAATAGTATTTGGGAAGAAATCGGTGACATTGAAAGGGCATCTGACGTATCAGTGTTCACAGGCATTTTGATTTTCTAAATTTAACGCGAGAGGCCGTACAGTATTAACAGGGTAACATTTTATAGGATTGTATACTGTTTGGGATTTCAAAATGTGGTGGTTGATCGCATTAGCGAGTGAACGCACTAAATAACCTCGTACCCAGGGTCTTTCCTCTTGGCGAGGGAAGCAAAGCAAAGCTACTAAAAGGTTTCATTACTGTATCAACGAAGATTTTAGGCCAGACCTTGAAGAACAACACGTATATACTAACTGTTTTCCTCTTTCTAGACTTTTTTCGCGGGATGAATAAATACAGCCCATTGAAAACGTTCCAGTGCTAGTGCACCTCTACCACTCTGCACCTGAGCACGGGCTACAGGTTATTAAGTTGAACGGAAACCCCATGATCCGGCCCATCCCAGGGTAGTGTTATTGTGTACCGCAGTCTTGCGATGAGGCAGAAAATGATTCGATAACGCTAGTGTGAACGCAGATATTTAAACCCGTTCCCACAAGGTCAAAAACGAAGGGATGCGAAAATGTATTAAAACCTTAAACATTCAGGTGTTATAAACTATACATCTGTAAGTTGCGGTGTGAGATACAATTATCTGAAAAAAAAACCCCAGAACGGCCCAACAAAGGCCCTTCGTTGGAAAGTTATAATACTACTATAATATTAAATCAGGCGTTATAATTACAATACTCACATAATGCTTTGCAGGAGTACATAGTTTTAGTATAATTACATAGGTGATTATTGAAAATTCTCCACGCTGATTGGTTGCCGTTGAGGTGATTATAACGCTATAATCAGCTAAGCGATTTTCGAAATGGCGGAAGAAGCCGTTTTGTCAATTAAATGACGAAGAAATGTGTATTTTTTTTCCAAATAATCACCTATGAAATTATACTAAAACAATTATTTACATCAGCTCAGGCTCGGTGATAATCACCGCCTATAATTACCTCGATAATCACTCGCCGATAATCACATATATAGTGCCCCATGAGGAAATTAATTCCACCGCGCTTTTGCTCTTTGGGAATACGCCTTTATGGGAAAAGTATTCCAACATGCAAGATTTCAAAAAGAGGATGCAAGATTGAGAGATGCTGCTATAGTCTTTCTCTCTTTATTCAGATTTTCAAAATTAAAGATCTTTCATGTTTTATTCCACGTTTATGCTAACTCGTTACGGAAACCCGATTTTCAAAGGCATCATTTGAAGCCTGAATAAAGTTTCATCCTGCGTCAATGCATCGTCATTTCCATAACGTAAAGGAAATTAACCCATGATTTGAAGTCCTCTCAGGAACTGTTCCGCGTTATGCATGCTTGAGTAAAATACAACAAACACAGTTTCCAGCGAAACAAAAATAGTTAAGTCAGCCAGGTGTTATTGCGTTAAGTCCTATTGAATCAAAGTCTAGTTTATCATCAGTAAGTCTGTGCACTACAGTCCTAACTCATAATACCAAAGCCCCAAATCGGCGAAACAGCGACACTTATTAAAATTTAGTCCAAGTCACTGTAATTTCAGTTTTCTGGAATAAGAATCAACAATCAGTTCCCACAAGCCAGAAGTCGACAATTGTTAGATAATTACTCCCAATATAGACGCTCCTACTATCCGATTGATACATTATTTGAACTACAAATTCAGTAACATGTAAAACTTCCCTCCCTGTTTCAATGTTGCTGTATGTGCTGGGAGAGTCAACAAAACAATAGTATATACAAAACTACTTAGATAAAATAGATGAAATGTCAATTAATTTAGTCAAACAACATTGATCAGGGGGGAGGGGATTATCTTTCTGTCTCAGCCTAAGTCGCGTCCACGAATTTTGTCACTGATTGTATATTCGTCATTTAAATCTTCATTTTCCGAACTCACAAACTTGACGTGGCAAGAGCCGTGTCTAGCTCTTGAGATTAGTCTTTGTTCTCAAAAGGGTTTTTGCATCATGGAGTATACGCAATATTCAATACCATTGTTTCTATGCCATCACTTTCGGTAGGCCTATACGTGATGAAATGTGCCGGCCAGTCATGACCAACCTCTGATGTTTATAAATTATATTACATATTCAGTTTCGCATGATACACGACCACTTCCACGTCAACAGGTCGTAAAAATATTTATTTTTTTTCTTGCGGTCCGAAGTCATATTTTACGCTTTTCTGCAATCTGATTCGATACGTGAGCGGTCCGTATGAGCCCGTGCGGACCGCGCGAGATTTAAAGCCGTAGAGCCAATGTTTTTATTTTTAAAAATTTAAAGACGAGTTTAAAGGCTACTTTTTAAAATATTAAAATGTCTGCAGACGATGAAGACCTCGAGAAATCTTTCTCTATACGGACCTCCAATCCGGTAAATAACATATATATATTTATTCGGCAATATATGATATAATTGCTAAATAATTGCTAAAATATTATCTTACATTAAGGTGGCTCCCTACAGTTTTAGGTCTGTGTGACTGTGTCGAGGAAATTGAAATCCTGATTTTTGTGACGTCACTCATAGATAAAAATAAATGTTTCTTGTGTTTCCTTCGGCAAAATTTTTTAAAACTCACACACTCTCCAGTAATCTTAAAGTGCGTAAAATGTGCAAGTTTTCGTACGAGCCGAATTTTTTTTTATTTCAAAAACGGGGCTTTTTGAGGATTAATTAATTAAAAAAAAAAATTCTCGCACGATTTTTTAAAATGCTTTCATTTGAAGGAATTGTAGATAAGATTACTGTGTGCAAAAAATTAAAAAGTTTTACCGAAGAAATTTTCAAAAAATTATCAGAATATGCAAATTGGCCCCTTTTAAAATCGCTCTATTACCATGGTAACGGGGATTTTTAACGACATTTTTTATTTTTCGTAATTCGCGATATTGTAGTAGTTATGTGGCCGAGTTTCGTGATCGTACTTTGCAAGATGATAAAATAATGTTTTTTTTAATACAATTGTGTGCTGTACAATCAATACTGTAGGGAGCCACCTTAAGAAATAAAACTGTTCAATTACCTTTACCTGACATGTACACAAAACGAAAACGCGCTCAAATCATATATCGGCAAAATAACACATAAAGATAAGTAGTAGAGGTAAATTAATCTATTTCTCAATTTCTCTCAAACTATTTGAATATGACTTGAGGAATCGGATAAATATATATATTTTTATATAAGGATATGAATTTTACATTAAATTGAAAAATTGTTGAAGTCTATATCACGCATATAACATAACTAACGTACAATTTGGGAAATTAATAATTGTGTGAATTAAAAGTGATAATTTTTTTCAATTTAAAAAATATACAAAAAGAATAAAATGATCGTGTTACCATGACAACCACTTCAAATACTTCATGTTTGGAAAATATAGTGACGTTTCTGATATTGAATTAGTGACCGCGCCTAAATGTCAAAAACAACTATTGCTCTCAACCTTTTTGTACGAGGTGGACGCGTTCACGTGAAACTGTTGTCAAAGATAGTGTTAAAGCTAGTGTATATGTGCACCATTGTATATGTAATCATGCATGGCCATCTACTGTACATGAGCAATTCTACAATCTCACTGGTCGAGTTATACACCTCACCGCATGCATATCAGCATGCATGCATCAGTGATGCATGACGGCACAAAATGTACCGGGCTTTGCGAAACGAGTTATTCGTTTTTCACACCAAAATAGAAACAAATACACAAAGAAAAAACAGGTTAGCAACCAGATTTTTAATCTCCAGTTCTGATTGAAATACGAGTCTTTTTAATTACTACTCGCTAAGAAGACATGCAGGGGATAAAAACGAATTGAAAGACATTTTTTGTCCTTTTTAACTCTTTCGACTCACTTGAATATATTAATTTCCCTAGATTAATAATTAAAAGATCATTAAAAGCAAATAACCTATTGCAATATTAAAAAGAAACTAAAAAGAAATTTAAAAGGGTTTTTTTTAATTACATAAAATAGGTTCTTTGTCTTATATGTTTTTATGATTTTTAAATTTTAATCAGTAAAATTTATTTATTCAAATGTGTAGAAAGAGTTAGTTAAAAAGGACAAGAAAGCATTCTTTCAAAAGCTGCATGCAATTCGTTTTTATTCCAGCTCTTTGCCTTTACTTTGGGTATTAATTTTTTTAGTGGTAACACTCGTATCCTTCCTTTCTCGCTTCAACGAAGATTTTTTCTGGAATAAAAACATCAGACTTATATATGGTCAGGATTAGTCAGATAAAAATTTTAAATGTTTTATAAGCCCCAGTTATGTGTGGCTATTAGTATTGACTCCTGCATGCATATACGACGATAGCGAATGGTATAATTGTTAAGTATATAAATTATATCGACGTACCATAGAGTTTTTATACTGAGTGTCAGTGGCTGTTGTGGTAAAAGCAACACCCTACTGCATGAATATATACTGGAAAACAACGTAAGACTATAATGAGTTGTTGAAAATTGATGTTTGTGTCGATATGAATATTTTAAGCTGTGACGCTATACATTTAGGCTATATTAAACCCATTATGACACTAAATTCAAAAAGCCTCGAATGAACAAATATTTCATCAGTTGACTATAAATCCCATGGTGATAAAAATCCACGTACGGTTCTCAATCTGTACACTCATGTATATATAAGTTGTTACGTGATATATGCACTGCTCTGTTTATGAATTTGTTGTTTAGGCAAACGTTTTCTGTCAAGCGGTCATCCATAATTATCACCATTTTCACAAGCGCACATGAGCTAGAGAGTACTCGACCCCCTCCCAGAGCGTACTCCTAAATGTTCATGCATATGGGGATGACGATAATGAGTCCGCGTTTTCTATGCTTGCACATTATGTTCTTCTCACCCAAGCATTCAATCCGTCACCGATCGTATCTCCGATCGGTTATATCTCCAGGTAACTCGCCTCCATATAAACAGGCTCATACTTGTAAATCTATATTAGGCTTATACAGTGATTGATTTCTAAAACTATTTAAAAAATATTGTTCAAGAAATAGATCTCTAAAACTATTTGATATTGTTCAAGAGTACTCTTTTTTCGTTCCCCTCCCAGAGCGTACTAATAAATGTTCGGAATTCCTATAGGAGTGATGTTAATATATGAGTCTATAATTATCGCCGTTTTAACAGTACGCTTTCTATACAGTATACGCTTGCACGTTGTGTTGCTAACTTACTGTGGATGACTCCAGTCCCTAAGACTTACTAAGACTACAAGTATTCAAGCGTTCACGTTGGAACGGCCGTTGCCCAAAAATTCGTAATATTATTCGCTTTAAATCAAATGTTTGTATATTTTATTAAGATAAGGAAACAAGTCATTCGCTCTCGTCCATTTTTAATAAAAAAGAGACGTGCTGGCTGATTGTTCCGACAAAACCCATAGAGCGTGGGTACAGACCTCCCGCCTAATGCCTATAAATACCATGAAATTCGGATTAAATTTGGGCGTTTCGAGTCTTGCATAATGTATTATTAAAAATGTGAAAAAGCAGGGCCTTGCGCCATGAACGCGGTTGAGGACTTTTCCCTCTTACTATAGATTCTTCCCAAAGGTCGTCCAAATCTGAGTTTGGGGAGGGGAATGCACGCGAGCGAGCGGAGGATTGGAAACTTTATATTCTAACAAAGACCTTTTAACATAGAGCAGCAACAAAATAACAATAATCCTGTATACTAGGCCTATATATGGGTCACTGTATGGATACATTTTAATATGTTGATGTACATTATTGTACCGTACATAAAGGTACTATCAGATAAAAACATTGATACCCATATATAGATACCCATAATCCATATCGTTCAACACCTTAAGTATAACTTGCAATAATAATCCTATTCATTTCATTTCATTTCATTTCATACGTTTTTATACTGAAATCAGCCGGACTATATTAAATTTGTGTACATGCAACTGATTTATCAGAAAGCTGACATACAGTACAATTATTAAGAGGTAGTTATATAGGATTATATTTAGTCCACAACATACAATCTGTATAATCTCATCAGGAAATAATTTATATTCATTCATCCACTAATTCATTCATCCAATGCCATGCAGGTATGTAAGTATGTTTTTACGTAAAATATATTTTCTCCCAAATGGTGTCCAAGATTTAAGACACGAAATATGCTCAGATGAAATTCTACTCTAGCAAAGTTAAGTCGGAGCGGAAACCGTGAGAAAGTGTAGATCTGGCGGTCTTATTAATTTCCAGTTTGAAATTAGTTTTGACGACATTATATTATGTGGTTGGCTTATCAAAATCGTTATATTGCTTGCTGGCTTTCAGTAAATGTGTGTGAAATTTGCGTGGAGAGGGGAATAATAAACCGCCATTGTTATTGAAGGCATAGGGTCAATCGTGACAGAATTGGGACTATATTTCAGCTTAGTTTCAAAGCTTCTTTGTATTTAATGCCTTATTTCCACAGAGACAAAACAGCTGCTGCCCGCTGGACCTTAGCGAGCTATTAACATCGCAAAACGCACATATACATATATTTATCAAGCTAGAAGCAACCCGAACATTCTGCAACTCTCAGTCTTGCCACTCTTTTGCATGCTGGTCCGGCACTATAGACTATACTCTATAGTCTAAATTACACTATAAGTATAACCTAACAAAATAAAGTAATACGTTGAGAAAGTTGAATTACAGGATGCTTAATAGCCTGTCAGACGTGCAGCGCAGCAGCGGCAAGGCAACAGGGGTTAAAAATTACATTCTCACAAAGTAAACAAGCCAAACAAATGCCCAAATAGGCCGAATTGGGCAATCCACACGAATATAAACATTTCAAAACATAGAAATCTTCACTCGCTAAAGGCGGAAAATATTGCAACACTAACAGCTAAGCAGCAAATATTGCAACTTGCGAAAGTTCTGCTATAATAAACATCACAATCGTCTTTAAAACTGTGTAGGTGTTTGTATACATGCAGTATTTTGACTTATAATATGAACATGAACCAAACCAACCATGTTTATGCTTCAAAATAGTTATTAAAAATGATACTTCTGCCTCATCAAGTCGAAATCTAATACAAATCCGCAATAGGATGTGTCGAAGCCTGTTTACTTAACAACTTAACTCACAATACTGGCGTATTTGGCCCCGGCAGTAGTATTTAAACTGTATAATATTGTCACACCGTAAAAGGTATACACAACATATATTATTGCAAGACACGGCTAAACATAGCCGTAACAAATATGTATGATACAATGAACAGTACCTTCAGCTACGAATCCTTCCCATATCCATCTATCGTCGTCTTTATTGCCACAATCATGTGAGGATATAGTCGAGGTATCCTGCTCATCCATAACAGCAATTCAGTGTCACAACTCACAACATCGTTCGGTTACCCTGCAGGCACTTTCAAAGTGCCGGGACAATCGTCTGAGCACATATCTTCGCTATATCCAAAATATTTGTCATAACCCTCATTCGGTATCTCGACACTTAAACGGCAATGTCAGGCAATGGAAATTTAACTTCCCTTATGGCAGAAGTTTAAAATTTGCTTAAATTAGAAATTTGCATATTTCCTACGTGTTACGCGTTGCCCCGTCAACCGGTGTCCGCTCTGAACACACAAGGAAAATGACGTTATTTTGGCAGGTATTTAAACAAGACTCAGGTACTTTAGACCTTAGACGCTGTTTATCTTTACCTGCTGCAATTACAACTTCGTGGGTATTTGCACACTTATACTGGTCGAAGATAAAATACCGACCTTTCTAGACTTCATAATTATTTTCTGTCACATGAAGGTCGAACATGAGGTCAAATTATGTATTAAGGATGGCTTGTTTTCAATTGTAATCGGTATGTCTTTTGAATGCCAACTACTCGGGTGGAACGAATTCAAATGGTCAATATAATATGCTCTGTATCACTTTCTATGTCTACGGCGATAACTTGTTACCCGTCCTGGATTGATTCTCATCCCCTCAGTATATAAAACAGAAAACTTATAACTCAACTCTGACAACATGATAAACAATGAGCTTTTCATCCATGCACTTAATCTGTCACTATTAATTGTATCTCTGACCTGATTCAAACTTTGTCTTTGCCTTTGACGATATTAGGGGGTTTTAGGCTCGTTTGCCACTCAGTCTCAGTAATAAAAAAAATTCTATTACCACGGATAATGATTATCTATTACTTCGTTTTATCTGTCTATATTTTATACTCTATTATTACGAAAGTGCAAGCTACTACAAATTCACATCGTCGTTGTTATTCTTCAAAATCACGACATGTTACGACGATCTTGATTTGTCCTCGATTAAGTCACGGATTAAGTCAGATTTTTCTGGACTTAAAAGAACGAATAAAACGACCAACGCAAACGGTCGAAGATTAACAATTTTAAGTTTTTATTGTGCAATAACAGTTTTTAGTCAACTTTAATGCATTTTTGTTCCATTACCATTTTCACAGAAAATATTAATCTATTGGCAGTATTGCATGGGTTAATTATCAAACGATAATGAGATTTGCTCATCAAACGATGATGAAATTTGCATGAGAGCTGGCAGTCTGCACGCTTGTTACGGGGGACTGAATTTACTAAGCTTAGATTAATAATAATAACAATTTATTTCAACACTAACATATACACATCAATTCTATATACATAATTAGCAGTATCGTATTTATTATATATTACATTTGGCCAGTTGGTTGATCCTGTATATTTATTTACCTTCATATATATGTAAATGTTTATGCCAGTGGCAAGGAAGCCCAATAGAGAAACCTTATATATAAGCTTATTTTTATCAGGCTTCCTTATATATTGAAATAGATGCATTTAACAGTACATAACGAAACATTCAATAATGAATACAATATTAAAGATACATGAACAAACAAACAAACAAACAAACAAACAAACAAACAAACAAACAAACAAACAAACAAACAAACAAACAAACAAACAGACAGACAGACAGACAGACAGACAGACAGACAGACAGACAGACAGACAGACAGACAGACAGACAGACAGACAGACAGACAGACAGACAGACAGACAGACAGACAGACAGACAGACAGACAGACAGACAGACAGACAGACAAACAAACAAACAAACAAACAAACAAACAAACAAACAAACAAACAAACAAACAAACAAACAAACAAACAAACAAACAAACAAACAAACAAACAAACAAACAAACAAACAAGCAAGCAAGCACACGCACATGCACACGCACACAAAAAGACACCATAATTTACTCCAATAACTATACAATATTTTTCTGTCACTCTGCTGTAGTAACTTTTACAGGTAGCAAAGCAAAACAATTGCTGATACTAACTTAGAATATGATGTGATCAGATACTCATCTAGTATTTGAAGGTGTTTGAAAATGTCGATTCCACTCTTTAATTTTTTCAAATTATTATGAGTCATCCCGAGCAATTCTTCCTTGGAAAAGAATCATAGTCCTCTGGGGTTTCAAACTCAGAACACAGGTCAAACTTGTAAGTGGAAATTAGATTATTGGCAGCACAACAGACGTCACTAGCTGTCATCTTCAATATGCTCTTTGGTGCAAAAAAACTGAATGTCTTGGCAAGGAAAGTCTGACCTTTGAACCGTTCTTCTAGTTGCGATGTAGCCGTGTCAATAAATTTAAAGAATACTTCGACACGGAATTCTTCTCTGGATCAGCGATGGGTTCATCTCTTGCTTCCTCGTCAAAAAATCTACGAACTTTTATTGTTCTTTTTCAGTAAAAGAGGAGACAGGAATGCCAACTTTAAGAGCAAACACTGTAGATCCCATTAGAATTTCATTCCATTCGCCTCTCATCTCTCTAACATTATTCAACGCTCTCCCCAATTCACTTTTAATTCCATAGATCCATGTCCACTGCATTAAAATCTCTGGATGCAAAATTTATTGAAGAAAGGATTCTTTCCCAAGTGTTCAGCAAAAAAACGAATTCCACAATGCTTATATGTTTGAGTAGAATTTTGGCCTCTTGCTTTCCTTTATTTTTAGAATTTTTGATGTATCCTTTTATCAGCTGAATGATATCTCCCAACCTGTTCTTAGTTGCCCTGATTGTCTCAATTCGCGAAGACCAGCGAGTTGTACAAAGTCTTTTCAGAGTCAACTTTCTATCTTCTCCTGCAGTGATTATGCAGCCCAGCTGCTGGGCAAGCTTCTTGAGATCAGCTGATCGGTTGATAATTCTGTTGAAAAAGCTTTATAGTTCTGACAAGATCGGTTGTTAGTTGTCAGTTCTGTTTCTCGGAATTACCAGTCGTGCACTTTTTAACTGCCAATGGCTCCGAATACATTATTTCCATAGTACATATATGTACTTCGCCTTGTTTCGCTTCAACTTCTGGAGTCATGCACGTTATATACAAACTGTGCTGGTGCAGTTGATACAGAAAATCTTAATATGCAAGGTTCTTAATAGTTGTACGAAACGGAAATTAGATGAACAAGGCTCCTGCCGTCAACTCAGTTCAAGCCCGATGGTCTGGGTGCCCCTAGTTTCCGATGCAGACCTACACATAGGAGTTACGCCACTGTGGTATATTATGCCATGATTAATAGACAAGTTCATAATACGAGTTATAGGCATAGATATCTTATATACACTAGATAGCGCATCTCTTTTAGAAAAATTGAAGCCGAGAATATTCCAGCGGTTACCCCCATTTGAATAGATGGCGGCCATGTTGGTCGTTCCCACTTGCTAATAAACGCTTAAAAACAACAATAACTTTCATCATTTGAATAGTTTAAAAACGTATTTGGAATAGGTTTAACTTAATGTTTAAGTTTCCTGTTTAAGAAATAGAAAACATACGAATCTTCTCATTTCATGGGAACGACCTGAGACTGCAATCACGGCTTCAATTTTTGAATTGCCGAATAATTAGATGCACAACCTAGTGTATATGAGATATCTATGGTTATAGGTCTAGATAGTAGATTAATAGATTACTTTATGACAGACATTGCATGGGATAAATCTATCATAGCCAGCAGCTTTACTAGCGTCAAATGTTTTTGCAATTTGGATAATTTCACTTTCGTCAACTGGATTTAGAAAAATTAGTTAGGAAAGGAACCATTAAGAAAACAGAGTGCGAAACAGAAGAGCGTTTAGCGTCACACCAGGAATTCGCGGGCTCAAACTCCTGGTCAAAGATTAGATACTATAAAGATGTGCCACTCGACGTATTTCCCTAATGTTTGCGTGTCCGTAATTTTCCGTGCTGATCACGAGTGATCACGCGAGATGACGAGTGCATAACACTTACTGCCAAAATGGCGGCGAGACTGAATACAATAGGTTGCCATCGCGAAGCTCGCGCTATATGACGAATTTGACACTAGCTTACTGGCAAATGGCGGCTATAAAAAAATCTCGGACATAATTTTCGCAGAGTGGCACATCTTTATAGTATTTAATCTTTGTCCTGGTGGCGGCCATTTTTCGGGACAAATAGATTAGATAATCTGGAAAGTTTTTACAATCCGTCATATATTTAAACCATCCTTTTATAATCCTTGCTCTTTTTGTCTCATTTTTATCAGAAATGAACCAAACAAGGTATTTTTATCGTTATTTGTTGTATTTGAGTAAAATGTAAACAACAACAAAAGCCCGCAATGCATGACCCTGACACTAATCCTTTAACCCTCAATATTAGTAAAATACTCACAAAATAATGTATTAACAATTTCAGTCGGATCAGATATTTTTATTTTCACTAGAAATTTTCCCTATATAACAAATCATCAAATTTTTGAACAAAAAGATTGACATTACCAAGGGTGGGTTGACTACAAAATTTTTGTAGTTCTCTATAACTACAGCTACTTCAAAAATATGTAGTCAGCTACAACTACTGCTACTTTTCACTTTTGAACAAAAGTAGTTAGCTACTGACTACAGCTGTTGCATAAAAAATGTAGCGAACTATTTCGCTATTTCGCTATACTCTATATTTTTTAGTTTTACGGTATTTGGGCTCAGGCAGTAATTTAACCTATAACAAATCGACTTACGAGTAGCAACAGTGAACAAAAAGGGTCAAAGAAACATTTTTGTAAGCACTATACAGTGTTCAGGCGTGCCACTTTTCAATGCGCTAAAATAATCTTTACTGTATAAAATAATCTTTTAAGCAAACCGTGTCTTAATATCATATTCTACGAACGGTTGCTAACAATTTTAAAAAGTAGCGAATAGCGATTCGCTGTTTGAAAAGTAGTCAACTACTTGGCTATTTTTAGGCAAAATGTAGTTCGCTATAACTACAACTACTGTTTTAAAAAAGTAGTCAAAAACTACTGGCTACTTGAAAATTGTAGTTCGCTACAGTAGCGAACTACAACTACTTCGCTACTACCCACCCTTGGACATTATTACTACCTGGTGGCCTACAAAAAACATGACCTACAATTATATTCTTGTCCTTAGGATTGCAAATTGCAATAAATAACGATTCAGCAATGTTGCTACTCTCCAGACATAAATCAGGCCTATTCTTAAATTATAGTTGTTTTGATAAGTACAAACCAATTCCACCCCCATAACTACTCGCACGATATTTATGAACAAAATTATAATTTTCAATGTTAACAAAATAAAGGTTTGGTGAGTGTTCCAACTATATGTTTCAACTTTGGGAAAGCGTCAAGGACAGCTAAATCTCATCACTCATGTACTCTCATTCTCGTTTGACCAGGCTTAAAGGCGAGTTTATATGGAGGTGAGTTGCCCGGCAAGACAAGGTACTCGACCAGGCGTGGGGCAAACAAAGTCTCTGTTTATATGGAATCGACTTGCTCGGCACTTGCCGGCTGATCGTCATCTTGACGCCAAACTTTTCAAAATGCCGTGAAAATACATACAAGAATAAACACGGAGAAATTCAGGAAAACTTAACTAATGATTCGTATGTATTTTTGAGCTCTCATATTTCAGATGCAAGGCATATCATCTCGCCTATAGGCGAGATCTGTTCCATTTGTACCGTTGGTTGGTCTTGGTTGCATCATGTAAACAGTTACCCAGGACTAACTATAAGTTTCTATAATAGCCAGGATCTCGCGGTTTCTGAGTAACTCGCCCTGCCGGGTAACTCGCCTCCACATAAATATAGTGTTTGATTTCTAAAACTATTTAATATTGTTCAAGAAAAAACCACGATGAAATTCAGGCACAAAATTTCCCGATGGTATTGAGTATAACTTCAAACCAACCAAAACCGAAACGGACTTTCAGATACAAGAAGAAATACGTATACAGCTATTTACGAGCAAAGCTGAAAAGTCGAATACGAGCGCGAAAGGCTGCTGGGAATCGCTGACAAATTAATGAATTTTCAAAGCGGTTCCCAGCAGCCTTTCGCGCTCGTATTCGACTTTTCTGCTTTGCTCGTGGACAACTAAGATTGAATAGCTGTATATAATCACGAGAATTTAGTAGAAAAATCAACAATAAATTTATCGTGACAATTAGGCTATATATATTTCATTGACGTCATCTTATTTATATATCAAACTTTAATATTAACATTGAAACGCAAATAAAACATATTGAGAAGCTGTAAAATAACTTTACATCACATATAAGTTTTTAACAAAAATTAAACGACGTCAAGTCCATTTTGCTGGGTGTGTGTGTTTTGTTTTCTGGGCGTATAGTCTTAGTTAAGGTCTGCACACATACACCTAATTTGTCTTCATTTAACAATTAGTTGCAGCTATATTTTAATGAACTTATGTATATTTTGGTCAAGTACAGAATAGACTTTATATTTTCTATTTTACAAGCATGATCGTCTTAAAGTACTCAACCAGACTAAAGTAAAGCATGTGATTTTTGGTCTTAAAACATCTTGTCATTTTCTCCGCTCATTCCGCCCGAAACTACTTGAACTATAGACAAAATATGTACCAATCCTTCAAGATTTATATTTAAAAGTTTTCCATTGAAAGTTGTAGTTTTGGAGCTAAATTTTACCTTAATTCGTGATGTATTCTGAATGAGAAATGACCTAATGAGTGGGAAAATGGATCCAAATTTTAATTGAATTATCTATTTTTGGAAACAAAATATGCGAACAAAACACGCGCATGAGCAGAACGCAGTTGACTGCCACTTTAAGTTCTTTAATTATATAAATTATATATTGTTGCCCATGTCCCTTCAACGTTAATTTACCTGCAACAAACATCGTTATACAATAATTTCCAAATCGTTGAATATGGCAAATAACCACATGCGATATAACAATGGCTTTAAATATTGCATGGCATCCATACAAATAAATGCATCGAATTATAATTACATTAAAAACAAAAAGCTATGAGAAATCAATCAGTTCTCGGAAGTGACGCACGTATTCCACAAGTTGAAATCTCTCCAACGAAATTACTGCTTCAAATTTAAAAATCTACCCTGAATGTTCCCTATAAGGATAGACTGACAGTACCCTACAGTTTCTTTATTGCTTACCCAAATGGCAAGATGCCGGTAACACATCACACTTGAAACAAATATACTGTATCCCATTGATTAATGTTTTTCTATATTCGTATTTTGGGTTCTGTTGCAGATCTTCTAATGCTATACCAGTTCTATGTCTACATTGATGTTCCAGTACGCCCTGATTCGGAACAGGGTTCATTTTGTTGTCATCATCTGAGATTCTTGTGATAGAATTCTGGAAGCAAGGGAGAGTATTCATTTTAGTGAAATTCTCTTGATTCTCAAGAAGTTCCCGAACGTTGCTGGTACCAGCACACTTCGTATCTGAATACAGCATTTCATCATTGTCATCGCTACTGAAAACGTCGGAATGTACGGGCATATTGTTTGAACATTCTAACCCCATTTCAATAGAATTGGGCAGGAGATCTGCACTGTTATTCTTTACTAAATAACAATTTGAGGTTCTTATTGGATGATCTTCTTTCCATTTTTGGTTGTTTACAACTGGCAGTTGTGCTGTAAAGGTGGCGTGGTTTCCATGAAGAAACTGAGAAGAAATGCTTGTTTCTGATTTTTTTTCAAAGAACGAGTTTCGCTGATCGCCACTGCAGCATGAAAATAAATTATCATTGTCAGGAGTTGTCACTCTTGAACAATTAGATAATTCATCATTATCACTAATAGTTTTGGAACATTTACCTACGCCATCGGTCGGAACGTTTTGACTCTCTTGCGAAGATATCGATATATTACCAGTGGTTTGAGAAGGACAGTTCCCAATAATGGACAAGTAATCTTTTCCTTCATGATCCATTTTAATTGGTTCCATATATACTTCATATATGGAATCAGACTCACTTTCATCACATTTAACATGGGCATCCAATGGTGAAGTGTCTGGAGATACTCCGCTATCATTTGAACTGTCACTGTCTTCTCTCTCTTGTTTAATACGTACTGGTAAAGATTCATCCGAGAATGAAATATTCATATTTCCTAATTCTTTGTAAGCACGAAAAGGTGGATTTGTGCAATGTTTCAGGTGACCACCTTGGCATGAGTGTCCGGCTAACACTTCACTGTCATTTTCTGCATACATATCGCTATCTCTGTTCGCTTGTTTAATACAATGCTTTGCTGATAAACTTTCTTCCAAGCAAGAAATATCTATATTTCCTACTTGTTCGCAAGTACTGTTTGGCCCATGTGTAGAATGCCTTTCGTGTCCATCATTGGGATCATGGGGAACATTAGAAGAACGTTCGGCTAAAACTAGACTGTTATTTTCTTTATTAGAATCACAATCGCCCATATTGACATTTAATGGAGATATGAGAGGAACGACGTCTAGGCAAGTACCCTGGAAAGGTTCTAATTCATCTACTTTCTTGTCATATAACGGTTTCACTACTGTACAGGATACATCAAAATGAACATGCTTGTGAGATGACAAATCTCTGTACTTTTCAAATTTCTCTTTACAAATATCGCACTCGTATATTTGATCTGAAAAATGTACTCGTCTACAATGCCGCAGCAAAGTACCTCTTTGTGTAAAACATTCAGAGCAGAATATGCATTTATAAGGCTTTTGTCCATTGTGTGTCCTTTGATGAACTGTTAATGAGCCAGGAGTTCGAAACGTTTTGCCACAGATTGTGCAAGGATGAGGATTTTCTCCAGTATGAATTCTCTTATGATCTTTTAACACGTGTGCATGTGAAAACTCTTGGCTGCAGACATTACACTTGTACTTCTTTCCAGTAAGACAGGGATTCCCATTCCCTTCTTTCGCCGGTCTTGCTAACACTTGTTCATCAGCATGGTTTGTAATCATACAGCCTATAATTGATGTCGTTGAACGCGTCTTGTAAGTGGTGCTCTTTGAGGTATCAGAACTTTGAAAACTATTCATGTTCTTTTTTCTGATACAAAATAGGCTACCAGAACTGGACTTATCCTCACTGTCAGATATACCTTTCCTTTCTTCATCACCTGAACCGCTTCTAATTGATAGGTTTGAACGTGTCTCATACCTGGTGACTTTTAACTCGCCATGTCTTTGGCAATGATCTCTCGTGACTTGATTCGAAGGAGTTTCACGTTGAACAGTTTGACATGGGAATTTTCCGTGGTTTGAAGCGCCTAAATGGGTCTTCTTGTGAGATGATAACTCTTTGAATTTCTCGAACTGCTTCTTACAAACTTCGCACTCGTAAATCTTTTCTGATTGATGATCATTCCTACAATGTAGCCTCAAAGGTCCTAATTGAGTAAACGCTTTAACGCAGAAAATACATTTATGAGGTTTGTGTCCAGTATGCGTTCTTTCGTGGTACTTTAAAGTAGCTGTTCCTCGAAACATCTTGCCACATATTGTACATGGATAAGGATTTTCTCCAGTATGTGTTCTCTTATGATATGTTAACAAATGTTTTTGAGAAAAGCGTCGGTTGCAGATATCGCACTTGTGTCGTTTTCCATCATCAAATTGTCCATTGGCATTGCATGGGCTGGTGTCTATATTACTAGGTGAATTTCGTTTTAAACAACTTTGGTGCTTTTTATGAATCCACAGGCCTGCGGGCTGACTAAAGGATTTGTCGCAGATATTACATTTGTAACATTTTTCACCATGGATTTTCTCGTGCAACTGCAAGTATGTACGACGGTTAAACGTTTTTCCACAGGTCTGACATTCATATATTTTGTCACTGTTCTCTGACTGCGACATATCTTTGGTTAAAGACAAAACAAGCTTTCTTGTGACTGTTTTTCACTGCAGATGTCATGCATCCTTCACTTCATATTCGAATATGGACGTGCCTGAAATCAATAAATACCAGTCAATATAAATAAAATTCTAATCCAAGTGTAACCACTATCATAACCATGTCCCTAATCCTTGCCCTACTGGCCAAGGAGAAGAAACGGGGGGGGGGGATGAAGAGATAAAATAAATGAATGGGTCGTCTATGAAAACAGGCGGCATCAAGAGAAGCGATAAGCAAAATTATCAAGGAATATAAGTACACTCCGATATATCTCAGAAAAAATCCCCCCTGAAAAATATTATCGCCGATGTCTCCTACGGTGATTAAGTGCGATAACACAAAATAACAGTAACTCGATTAAAATCAAAATGTTATTCGTTCGAAGTTACTGTTATTTTGTACTTTCTTAAAATACTGAGTGGTTCCTGTAAATAAGTGCGATAATGTTCATCAATTATATGCACGGTTCCGGTTCCTGTATCGCTATACAGTTGTTTTTTAGTAGTAGCCATGACAGTGTTATAGAATATTGTAAATTAAAGCATTACATATACAATGCAATACGCGTAGTATTTCATCAGACATCTGCACTACATTATAAATGCTGTACAACTGTCAAGGAAAACTACAGCTTAATAATACACCTTTTTTTGTTCAGTCACGAAATATCACAGCTCACGTCGACACGGCTTTTGAGTTTTTTAACCGGCCGAGGCGAAAGTGAAACTGGGAAAAATGAAAAACGGGAAACTGAAAACGGTCGTTGCTCACATACAATTCACGTTCTTACTTTGAAAGACTATTTTGCAAAATATACCCGTACACAACAATCATAAAAATACATATGTTGAATTGTTATTGTCAAGTTCTGCTATTTTTTGACAATGTGGTGTTAGCCAATCAGAATGCAAAATTGACCGGCCCAGACCAGGGCTTTCTCTTCTCTCTCCTTGTTCTCACACGAAAGCCCTGAGAACGAGGTTGAGGCACAGTATATACTGTATATGGGTAAATATCAGGATATTGTCCGGATATCAGGGTCAGGGCATTTAGATTTAGTTCTATCAAGTGAGATGCCCAAAATCCTGATATTTACCCAACACCTTGCACCAGCTGGCGTTACCATAGTATGTATACATGAACTTGCACTTGGCAACTGGACTCTGTAGCTCAGTTGGTGGGAACGCTTCACAGGAATCAAAGGACCACAGGTTCAATTCCTGTCAATGGGTCTGTAATTATATATAATTTACACTTGGAATTTTCATCTACTAAAACCCTTCAACATTTAGTTCTATCAAGTGAGATGCCCAAAATCCTGATATTTACCCAACACCTTGCACCAGCTGGCGTTACCATAGTATGTATACATGAACTTGCACTTGGCAACTGGACTCTGTAGCTCAGTTGGTGGGAACGCTTCACAGGAATCAAAGGACCATGAGAAAGTACTGTACATGCATGTAGCCTTGAATCATTGCCGGAACCAGAATTTTGTTTTTTTAATGAGAAAAGATTCCATTTGATGATATTGTTTTCATTATCGACAAAGAAGTTAAGGTGAGCTAGTGCATTTCTGGCCAGTTTTAGTATGTGGCATGGATATAGAGGATTGCATATACATGGTAATTTGCTGTTGGGTGTTAGAATTTTATGACCATAGAGTTGAAGGATGTTGTAAAGTTGCACCCAAGTTCGCGGAACATGCTAATGTTCACTATTGTACCATCAGTGGTTACTGCTCATACTCGAAGACAAGCCTCTGCAGCCATTTTAAGGGCAATTCTAACCAGCTGTGCTTGGGTTTTGGATGACATTTCGTCAGAAAAAAAGTATCCAACTGGACACTTCCAATGACTACGTGCACCCACGAGTAGGAATACAACTGCTTTGGATGCAACAGTATCGGGTTTCGCAGTTTGTATTGTGCCATAATCCACAAAGCACACAAGTACTTGTCCTGTTTGGCATCCCACAATGTTTGTTTTCTTGTGGACATTCCATCAATGATTAGACAGTAGTCTTTCTTCTCTGTGCATTGCATGGCTGTTTCCTGAATGGTCTCAAAGGATTCTTTGATAAACCTGGGCTCACATTCGAGTACGCTAGACCACTTTCCGCTGAGGGACGGATTAGGCAAAGGAAGTATTGACTGTACATACTGGTATGCAATAGGCGAGTAGTAGTTAAGGGTACGTACTTGCTAAGTCTTTAACTACGTCCGCATTCTGCGCCCACAAGGTGCACAGCTAACATTGTTTTAGTGTCTCTAAAAATCGAGAGCTGTATTTTGTCAAATTTTGCATGCATCATTTCGGCACCCTCTGGAGATAAAATTTGTTTCTGGTGCAGTTCATGTATAATGTCTGACATAGTTTGCTGTCTGGCTTTTGTCCGTCTTAACTGTTGCTGTTATGACTGTTATGACTTAATTCTTCGTTTTAATTTATTTTGCAGCTCTGGTCTCCTTTACCCTGGTTGCCAGAGGTTCTCGTATCTTTCACCTTATTCCCGCTCGTATTTATTTTACGCGAGGCGAAGAGAACCCGCTCTGGTACAAAATTTGTACCAAACACATGATTGGTTAGTTATAATTAGCAGTCACATGAAGTGATGTGATTGGCTAGACAAAAAAAAACTGTTTATAAATCTCAGAGAACATGATGTAAACAAAATACAGAAATAATACGAACGTATTATTAAAAATACTTTACTTTAAAACGATTTTCTGCGCTGGAGAAGAGCTGCCATCGCGGCATGACTTGTTCACTCTATTAATATTTGTAAAATATAAAGTGTTGCTCACTTGCTTATGATCGGTAATTCTTTGACTTTAATAATTATTAATACGATTTATTTTGCCAATATTTTCCCGTTGTCTTTTAAGGACAAGACAACCATATACTGGCTCCATTGCACATGTAGACATAAATATTATTCTTTCACTACGTTCGCTAGTAATACAAACGGCATTCCACAAATTAACAATTAAGGTTGCTTTGCTATGTAACTCTACAATAGCTGTGCGTTGCGAGAATAATCTGCATGCTTCTAATGAATAATCTACATGATTAGGTTACTTATTTTTAATATTTTGCATAAGGCTGCCTGAAGAGAGCTATTTTGGTAGTATGACAAACCCGGAAGTCTAAAACACGTTACAAAATATAAAACCGGTTTTGCAAGTTCTCAAACGGCAACTCAGCATGGAAGTGAAATTTGTATCGCGTGCCACCAGAGGTTCTCTTCACCCCGTGTAAAATAAATACGAGCGGGAATAAGGCGAAAGATATGCTATTGTTCCCAGTAAACTGCGAAACGACCGTTTTTTTAAGCGGTTTGTCAGTGACAGTTTTGTCAATTACGAAGGACATATTTGTGTACCTCGTGATCACAATTCGCTGCAAGCGGCGTGTGAAAAACTGCAAGTTTCAGTTTGACAGTTCTGACAGTTAAATGGTATGTCCTTCGTAAAAACGGTCGTTTCGCAGTTTACTGGGAACAATAGTACGAGAACCTCTGGCAACCACGGTAGGTCTCTCTGTGCTCTGATCCAAACCTTCATCGATTGAGCTTGTATTTCTGCAGTAAGTACAGTATGCATACAGTGTTGTCAGTGACTGTAAATCACAAGGGGCGTTGATTATTCTACTCTTGCTCTAAATATGCCATAGTTTGCACTGTATGTCTTTTGTGGGAATATTGTGGGCACCGATGTATTTCTTAATCGACAGGTTCCGTGTTCTCATATTGGTATGACAATGTAATCGAACCTGGAGAAGTGGTTGCTGCAAATAAAGCTAAATTTTGTTGCCTTCCACTCTGGACAGCTATTAGCACTTTGTACTGCTTCCTCTCATTTTTCAAACTGTGGTGGTTCGTTGCTGGAAATCTAAAATGTTTGCATTTTAAATTTGATACATTGTTTTGAAAATTTAAAATGTTTGCATGTGAACTAACATGTACAGTATATATTGTATTTACTTTCTGCATGAGACCATACTAGTTTTTATTATATAACATTTGTAAATTCTGAACGCTGATTGGCTAAGAGCCGTGTTGATATAACTCAATGTCAACACGGGAAATTTTCCGCCGCTTGTAAACATGGAAATTTTTGTTATCCTTCGGGCTTTTTACATTGCCATATTATAAAAAAAATATAAAACATTTTTTCCGTATTGATATATAGTTATATCAACACGAGTGGAATTGGGAAAACGAGAAATTGTATGGAAACACGATGCCCGAACTGTACAGTATATCAACACGGAAAATGTTTTATATTTGTTAAATGTAACATATAAAGCTTAGCTATACACACAAATTATTTACTGTTGTACAGCCTTCATAGTTTCAAATGTTGTATTTAGAAATTTATTACTTAACAATATGTGGGTGTATTTATGAAAAAAACATTTAAATTTAATAAAATTTGTCTATAAAATGATATCTGTACTTGCTGTTAGTTGTAAGAAAGCTCACCTGTGAAATGCAACCTTTGTTTTTGTAACATTGGGTGCGTTTTCTTGGCCTTTTTAGCCTTTCTCTGCTTGTTGTCACAGCCTGAGATACTGCAATACAAGCAATAGGCATGATGGTTTTCGTAAAAACCAAGTTAAAAAACAATTTTTTCGTCTAGTTTTGTGTTTGTTTACGCTCTGATTTTAGTATTGATGCGTCTAGTTTTGTATTTGTTTACGCTCAAAAACAAAGCTCCGAGTAAATATTACTCTCCCCAGGCAGTTTTTGAGCAAAAATACACTGAAAAAGCCATTTTCCTCTAGATGGCTCAATTTCTAAAGTTCCAAACCTGATTTTTTGGATAGTCCTAAGTGGTTTACATACTTCGAGAGCTTAAAATTTGGGGGTAACAGCTTGGTATTCAAAAGATGTTTTTATGAAATTTATTGGCTCGCCAACGACTTGCCCTGTGGCTGTGGACATCGCATAAATTGGTTCTCCGCGTTTGACGTCATTATAAGAAAGATCTACAGTATTACTTGTATTTTTAATTTATCTACTCAGGTACAGTATGAGAGCACTTCGTGAGCTACCTGACAACAAACTAATTCAAAACCAAGATTTCAACCTTGTACCGTGGGCGTCTGCACTGTAGAGCCACAAGATCACAAGCCTTGGGTACTGGGTTGATCACATATTCAAAACTGCATGAGAGCGCCTACAAGGCAGGTGCCTACGTGCGTTCCGAGGATTTGCTTCAAATTTAGTTGGTATCATGTTTGAAGAACAAGGAAAATAATACGATCTGGTGGTGGATTTGTAACCACTTCCTAACAAATAGAGGCTGTCATGCAACAAATATATTTTGTGAAATTAGCTTCTCTAAAGGGCTTCACCGCTGCCATATAGGTCAGAATTTAACCCGTTAAGTTGCATTGCGCCGTAATGTGCCATATTTAGTATTTTACTCTTTCTGATATCAGACAATTTTACTTGTCAAGGGGAGAGTGCTGGTGCTCAAAGGGTTAATCAGACTATCTGCTCATATGTTTAGTTAACACATTAAAGCCCCGTTTACACTACGCTCAATTTTTGGTACGGCACGGATAAAATTGGTACCTATTTAGGTAGTCCAAGAACGAAAAAGTGGTACGGTACCAAAAATTGAGCGTAGTGTAAACAGGGCTTAGCTAAATAGGTAGTCAAAGAACCAAAAAAGTGGTACGGGTACCAATTTTATCCGTGCCGTACCAAAAATTGAGCGTAGTGTAAACAGGGCTTAAGTTGCATTGAGCCATGATTCTCTCTACTTCAGTATTTTAAAATTCCTCTCTCTCTCTATCAAGGGAGAGCGCTGGCATTGGTTGTGCCAGGATAATACAAAAATGTGAAGTGCTACCTGTGATTGGAATTTCATGTGTATAGTGATTCAGGTGGTTGAGAGGTACAGTATATTAATAGTTTTAAGACATTGGGATCAGGCGTCGAACCTCTAATCACAACTTACAGTACATGCACATAGAATATTCCACTAAAATCAGCTATTATTTCATAAAACAATATACTTAGGCCAAGTAACATACTTTGGCCTCCCTGTTGGACTTGAGAAAAGCATCAACAGACCTGCAAGTTTCTTCTCTTAAAACCCATGTCAGAACAACATTTACCTGTAGTAATTAATTTACAATTTGACATTACCATTGAATCAAGGTTTTAAACTGCTATTAAGCACATAAAGTATACAAATTTTTAAGTTATAGAATTCTTGTCTACATGAATTTTGCATCGGTAATCACACAGGCAAATTGTGCAATTGATGACTAAGTAACACTATGGGTCATTTTTAAAAAGATGCAAAATTGCACTCGCCAATTATTTATTTATTTAATTGACAGCTCAAACTATGTACAACTAATAACTATACACGTCTTCCTTAACAACAAATGGTTTAAGATTTATGTGAAGTTGAAATATTTATTTGAAATGTCAAAGTGTAGAAGCGATATAAAATGAATCACAAGTTCTTGATTCATCAACAAACAATTGTTGAAGTTCAAAATACTGAAAGTTCAGCAAGAGAGTTTTAGGTCAGTGCTTTTTTGTGTATTTTCATTTTCTGCTTTTGTAATTTTTGTTTGTAATTGCAAAGCAAGCCGCCATTTTGCTTTTTCAAATCATTAATTGCACTCCAGTAAAATTTATGTAAAATTTTACTGACTTTTGCAACAAAATGCACATTTCACGAGCTTGACATGCCATTGGGTCATTCCAGAAAACGTCCATACCACCCCTACGGAGGAAATTGAAAGTTAAATCCCCCTACCCCCTTCAGATATCCTAATACATTTAACTATTATCAGAAACAATTTTGTCTCCCCTCCCCCTCCAGACGGCAGAAATTTCCTCCATGGGGGGAGTGTGGATCTTTTCTGGAACGACCCATTGCAAACCACAAACCACTGGTTCTCTTGGAACTGTTGTGGTTAATTTTCTATGAAATCAACTGAAGATGAGAACTAGCAATGCCAGTAGCTAATAGGTGTGAAAACGATGGAGCAATAAGCTGCCACAGGTATGCTTCCATACCAGGGCTGGATTTTTATCATCATGATGGCACTCACAGCGATTGCCATAGTTCAAGACGAGAATGTCATGGGTCACTGCATGTGCTGCATGTGAACATCAAAGGCAGTTTTTTTGCCATGAATTGCGGTCGTTTCGTCCTCGAGTCGATTCGCCCCCAGTCATTTCGCCCCCAATCCAAATCAGGGGCAAAACAACCGGATACCGACTGGATACTGCCAGCCAAAGACGCAAAAAGTCTCATCAAAATTTCAACCAACTCGAAGTTGATATTGAGACTTGAGAGTGCATGAGAATCGACGAGAGTTGACGCTCAAACGTGAATTTTTAAATCTCATCAACTATTCAACTACCTTATTCCACAACGAAAAAGCAAACATAGTATGATAGTAATAATACAATGAACAAAATAACTTGACCTACATAAACAGTTTAATTGAAAGGGTTAATATTATAAATACAAACGGCCATGCTTCATTTAGCATACTCGACAAAGCTCTCTTTCTTACCTACAGTGTCTTTAACAACAGATTATATTTGCGCTTTTCTTCACCGTTTTTACACTGTTCTTCTCAAAATCCTTGCGAATATACACGACAGAAATGTGGAAATAATATCAGTACTTTTCTGGTATTTGTTGCGTCAGAGAGCATGTTTGAACTTTGAAGGAATGCAGGATATTGCAGTTGATATGAAGTATCGATCAAATTTCAACACAGCGCACCCAAATAAAACACCGTAAATTTAATAATCTTTCACTGATTTCTACTTTATTCCCCGTGGAGAATGATGGGACAGCTGCCTCGTCCCCAGTCGCTTATGGAGAAATGAAAAAAACGAATAATTAAGAGGAAAACGAATAATTAGAATAATTAATGCCTTCCCATTTTCCTTTGCGCGCTCGTCCTTAGTTGCGGGCGTGCGCCTTTTTCGGGCTTGCAGTGCACGCGCTAAACTATATATTACTGATATTTTACTGATATTTAAATACGTCGTTGATCTCAGTTAAATCTGATCTACATAGAGGAGCCTGTGGAGGAGGCAGATGGGACAGTGTTTTCACAATGCAGTAAATTTCCTTTTTTCAGGAAATTTTACTAACAAAAGGTTAACAAAAGGAAAAATTCAGGACGAAGGAGAATTGCAGTAAAATTCAGGAAATCTAAGGAAATTTTTCAAAAAAGCAGACCATTATATTTATGTATTTCGATGTTTTGATCGGCATTTAAAGTAATTTTAATTACTTAAAGTCCTTAAAGTAATTTAAAGTAATTTTAATTATTTAAAGAAATTTAAAGTAATTTTAATTATTTAAAGTAATTTAAAGTAATTTTAATTTATTTTTTGAATTTAAATTTGGCAAAGCTTTTAATTTGATCAAGAAATCCAGGTCTCCATCAATCATCAGTGCAATAAGTGCATACAGGACACGATATTAATAATTAATTAGCACATCATCCGACTCTTTAAAAATGGTTAGATGTGTCATGTGTGATTGTGTGAATTAAAATCTCCTGGACAGGTGTGCACGCTTCATTTTATTAAATTTGGCAATAATTTAAAGATCATGGTTGAAATTGGAGACTTATTGATTTGAGTCTCTGGATTTGAGTATTTGACAATGAAATATGCACACGTGTTCTGTTCTTACCTGAATAACCTGATCGATGATAAACGAGACGAACATTTGACCGAGATTTCCGGGACCCTCTGAGCACTCCGCCCCCTCTCGCCGGCCTTGCGCCAGAGTCGTCATCTGTAACACTATCAGCAACCTACTACCTTATCGATGTCAACATACTTGTCGTGGTCCATCTTCGTATACCACCATTATTGTCTGCGGGTTTTTGTACACAATATGCGTAAACCATAAAACCGAATACATCTGTATCCATCACAACGACCACCACATTCGTGTCTTGAAGACACGCATGAAGGATTAAGCGAGTATCTGCCTCTTCATGGTTACACTTGAAGATTGACCTTGCTTCTTCGTCCTTTGTAATCCTCCACGTCTCTTCTTTTTCGGTAAATATGAGAGGAACAGAAAGCTACTTCTTTCCATCTTCGCTCTTGAAGAAATTCACAGCCATTTTCATCAAGTCTGTCCTGTTCTCGATGTTATGGAAAAATGCCACCCACTCGTTACCTTTCAACATTTCTTGATCAAAACCTTGAACGTGGCTTCTTCGGCTGTCCTCTCCACTCACGCTTCTCGTACAGCTTTTCACACTCCCCTGATAATAGATATCGTTGATAATTTCAAGACCAGTAGGATTTAAGTCGTCACGTGGAGTCACCAACCTCAGTAAATTTATTAACCATTCTCGATATGTCGGTTTTGGTTTGATGTATCTCATCTGCCATCCAATCCATCTCGCATTTTGTGGACACTCTTGCGCTGCAGCTTCCGATTGCGCAATGATGAAATTATGAAATAATTGCTTCAGTGTTGCATGGTCGCAAAGTTCCTTCAGGCGTTGCAATAGCAAGTGGGACAAAAGTGGATACTGCATGCCTTGTTCTTCGATATTAATGGACTTGCTCAGCAAGCAGGGCAGTAGCGACCGCGGGCGTTGGGGGTGCTTTGATGATTGCTCATATGAGCAATTTTAGGTAAATTCAGATAGATTTGCAGAAGAAATACAGATAAATCAACGCAAATTCAGGTAATTCCTAGGAACAGAGAAAGTTAATTTACAAAAATAACTGTCAATTTGGAAAAAAAAATAAGGTATATTTACAAAAATTTTAGAAAATCCACGACATTTTTCAGAATTTCATAAAAATTTCTTTGATATGAACGGAGAAAATTAATTTTTGATATCGGAAAAATTTTTTTGTGTCGCGATAAATTTGGATATGTCCGGAAAATTTTTTTACCGCTAAAATGGTACACTGACCGAAATTTTTTTTGGCGACGGGGGGGGGGGAGCGGGAGGTCGCCGAAAAATAATTTTCCGAAAAAATTTTCCAGGTAAAATTCGAAAATTTGTTACTTTCAGGTAGATTTAACCAAACACTCCCCCCTGAAGCGAGTATGAGGTGTGGATAGGGACAAAAATGCAATTGGATCGGGACAAAAATACAATTGGATCGGACAGTGTTTAATTATAATGCGGGCTGAAAGCCATTGGGCTTTAAACAATTAGATCGGGCATAATCAGTCGGGCTGAAAGCCATCAGGTGTTAAACAATTACCGTATTTACTCGATTGAGCGCCGCCCCCGAATAAGCGCCGCATTTGAGATCAAATATGTTTAAAGAGCGCCGCCCCCGAAAAAGCGCCGCACTAAACAGTGTAAAAACTTTCCACCGTCAAAATGGAGACATTTAGTGACGAAAATATTTAATACTTGTTTATTTCATTGTTAAAAGTTCTTGTTATAATTCACAAATAAAATATTTTTTTAAAGAGCGCCGCCCCCGATTGAGCGCCGCCCCCGAATGAGCGCCGCATCTGGCTCAAACGAGTAAATACGGTAGCTATAATAGATCGGACATAATAACTCGGGAAACCAATATACCCGAACAAGTTACAGTCAAAATACAAGAACCTTCCCGCTTTTGTAATGTGTTGACATTTTCTGTAATTTGTTCTGTATTACTGTGTAAACGGTTATCGATTTATAAACAAATACCGCGATAAAATTCATATTTCGCAGCTTTCATGTGTTCAGTAAAATGCCGTGAATAAAACGAGAAATGTATTTCTCGCCACAGTTTATTATAACAAAGCCAAAGGAAACTAAATGTTGTGGCAATATTTTGATATTTGCTTGAAATAAATTTGGTACTGAATTTTACTCATCGTAGTATGTGCTCTTTCTAGCTGTGCCTGTGCCCCTGTGGTGCCGATTTATTTGCATCTCCTTGCCGGCTATAGTTTTGAAATTAGTCTATAATGCGAATTGTACTATTCTCTGTAAAATTTTCTGTTTTTCTGTAGCGATTTATACCAAATTCATTTTCAAAGTATCAAAATATGGCCACAACATTTAGTTTCCTTTGTTTTTATTTATTATATAAAGTATAGACTATAGTGCTTTATAGAGATTTCGAGCACTGATAAAACTGATAATCTCACATGTGAGTTATTACTCGCTGGGGCACCTGTGCCCCGGGCGAGTATAGGTTTCGACCATAGGTTTCGACATCATTTAGTGGATCTCCAATCGTCGTCGATAGCCACAAAATAGAATATTAATGAGCTGCTTGATCCTTCAAAATGGCGGGGACTTTCGTGGAGTGGGCAAAATGTTTTCAACAATTTCGTGAACATTTTGAACCAATTGTACCTGTTTTCTATGGATTTTGGATTGTGTGTAACTGTGGACATTCCTGCTAGTTTATTTAATGCGTTTTTCTTGGTGCACGGCTCTGAAAATCCGAAATTTGGATCGTGGAATTCCCGTGCTGGCCGTGCACGATCATAATATACTGAATCTGAATATAAACGAGCCAAAGACAATTTCAAGGTAAAAGGTTATAACTTAAACTGCACAACGTAGTTTTAATAAATAACTACTTTATGAGAAGCATATTGGTGTCATATCGATATGAATTTTATCGAACAACAGTCCGTGAAAACTGCAGTGTACTCAGTGTGAAATATGATATTGTATTTGTATAAATTCCTATTACAGTAATGGCGCAATAGCCAATAAGGATAAAAATACCACCGTTCGATTCAGCATAAGAAATTGCACTTACGGATGCCAAATGTATCACTAAACAACAGTATTCTAACGATTTATGGACTTTGAAAATCAAGCGACATTTTTATTGTTGACAAATTACTCGCCGTTAATTGTCCGACCTTGTATTTGACCTTGTATTTGTAATGCCTAATAGTAATAAGTAATGGCGGATAAAATATAAGAAATTGTACTTATAAGAAATTGTACTCAACGTAAGAAATTGTACTTATATATGAATGAGAAATTGTACCTACGGGTTTCAACTGTATTACTAAACAACTGACAACAGTATTCTAGCGATTTATGGCGTTTGTCTTTGAAAGGCAAGCGAAATTGTATTATTTGTTGACAAATCGCTCAAACCTAAAATTATATAAAATGCAATATGTTTGATCCTTGATAACTTTGGTATCGTTGGTTTTCTCTTTTTCGGCCGTATACCAGTGGATTCGTCTCACTTCTCTCTTCATTTTGATAATATTTCGAGCCCAAAAGCCCCAAAATATTTTAGTTTGGACGTTTTAAACTAGCGGCCAACAAAAGAATGTAGCGTATTACAAAATACAATTTTTAATACTTGTGGGCCATAAACGCCGGAAATTTATTTGTAC